GAGTGCTTTAATGGGGTCATGAATTGAGAATAACATTCCAATCAAAAACAGCTTTTAGTGAAACAAAGCTGCCAAAAATTATGCATTTATATTACATAATAGATTTGACTACATAAACTCAAGACTGCCTGCAGAGACACAGATCAATGCCTATTTATATGCCCACTTGGTGCATGTTAGTGAAGGGAGAGATACTGTATAACAGGATAACTTGGAATAAAAATAGATTTAGTTGCCTGCTCAATCTAACGGCACATGTTTTCCAAATGTTGTCTTCATAATAAATAAATTTAGTCCTTTCACTGTGCTGACTCTGTACATAATATAAATGAATGTTTCATAATTATCTGTATTATTTCTGAACCAATTCATTTTTGCAAGGAGCAGTGACTTGCTGTATGATTCCTGTGATTTTGAACAAATGTGAGATCATGAACTGTCACTTTATTATAGCTAAGTGAGTTCACATTATTACTAGCTAAGTACCTCCACATTGGAAATACATGACTCTGCCTACACAGCTGCAAAAGTGCAAACTCATACCTATAATCATAGATGAGCATGTATTTTCTTGTATGTCTTTTCATAATGTATGATTCCTGTGATTTTGAACAAATGTGAGATCATGAACTGTCACTTTATTATAGCTAAGTGAGTTCACATTATTACTAGCTAAGTACCTCCACATTGGAAATACATGACTCTGCCTACACAGCTGCAAAAGTGCAAACTCATACCTATACATATTTCTCTGCAGTTTCCAGGTGAAAATAATTCTAGGAAGTAAAACACCAATTACTTTTGTTCATTTTCATAGAAATTATAATTACAGGGCAGATTGCTGATGAATATGTGCTTATTTTTGCAAGGTTCCTTGCACAAAACTGCACATGCTATAACACTTTTATCATCGTGCATGATTTGTAGACTAACAAATTTGAACATTTATAAAATCCAGTAAATATGTACAGCTTTTCTGAAGTTGTAAGCTTGCTCGGTAGTTCACCTGGTTCAGCATTGTGTTGCACTTGGGTATAAGGATGATCAGAAGAAATGGACAGCCCCTGAGTTAAATATATGAGTGTCACAGCAAAGGGTCTGAATACTTAGGACCATGTGATATTTCAGTTTTTCTTTTTTAATAAATCTGCAAAAATGTCAACAATTCTGTGTTTTTCTGTCAATATGGGGTGCTGTGTGTACATTAATGAGGAAAAAAATTAACTTAAATGATTTTAGCAAATGGCTGCAATATAACAAAGAGTGAAAAATTTAAGGGGGTCTGAATACTTTCCGTACCCACTGTAAGTTCAGTGAAACACGAGTCACGTTAAAAGAGCTCAAAGGGTTGTAAAAGAAAGGTATAGGTGGTATGTTAATACTAGGCGATAGAGCATTAACATTTTAGTGCCACTCAACAGACATTTAATTTCTGGACTGCCGTGATATGTACAACAAAAAATTGAATAACATGTAAACTTTTTTGGATACAATTAAACATGCTATCTCATGCTACATTTTAAACTGCTGTGAAGCGTGCTACAAGCAACACAATATTCATTTGCAACCATTTTGTATCCACAGGCACATTTTTTATTAACACTGTTTAATAAACTCGCATCTGGCTCTTATGGACATGTTATCTGAAAAGTGCAGCGAAATGCACTCAGAAATGTAGGCCATCATGTAATTCCAATCAGCCTGGGTTGACATTGCCTGAAAGATTATTTCCCCCTAACAAAATTCTATTATACAAATGATGTAGCACAGCAATATACCTGAAGATACCATATCGGTTGTTTGCTGTAAGAGTTATAACATGTTTGTACCTACAATTTATTGTTCAACTTAATTATAAAAGATGTCAAATGAATTTAAAATCCACTTGGCTCAAAAATCTGAGAATGTTTGTATTTCCGTGTGTTACTCAAAAGGAAGAGAGAAATTGAGAGGGTTAACAGATTATTTGCAATTAAATGAAATGGGTATTCTATAGTATCCATTCAGTTAGAATTGCATCAACCCATTCATCTTTTGGATTGTATTGCTGTCCTCCCATTCAACACCTAGTTAAACCTGTGGCTCTACCATCATCATTACACACTAAAGTGCATGAATTGTTATTTGCTGAGTGCCCCACAGGGAAACGGTAAACCATAATGAAATGTAACCTGCCAGTGACACCAAGATCATCCAATCAACTCACCCTGAACATGACTGAGGCAGAACACTATCACAGCTAACACAATACAGACAAAACTGTAATTCTAATTTAGCACCCGAAGGCATCCGACAAAATAAAAGGTTTTAGAAACATATCAGATTTGAAAAAGGTTGAGAGGTCACAAAACCATCTATTCAGGCATTCTGTCTGTATCTGATTCAGACCCTTTAAAGCTCCCAGCATTAAAACATTAGTCTAGCGGCCTTTTAGCTATGCAAATTTTGACCTTGCAATTAACAGTGAGATACATAATAAAAAATAAATCTACCCAGAATAATAGCAGCTTCTCTATTCTCATAATAATTCTCATAACAATAATAAAAACAAAATAATGAATTGTATTCTGTTTCACACAAAATCATCATATGTTTAATACATGCATAACATGTCTAGTTGCACAAATAACAGGTCATGCTGTGTGGTTTAGTTTGCTAGCACAGTGTTTACTCACTTTAGAGATAAGTTCTCTCTTTCACCAGTAATATGACATGTTAGATATAACAATCATTGAAAGAATTTATAATAATCATTGATATTTTATTACATGTGTGGGTCAAACCTGTAACTTAAAAACAATGTATTAACCCAAAAATGAAGTCTGCCATTATTTATGAGTTATGAAAGAGACATCCCAATCAGATCAGTTTTAAAAGGACAAACTTATTGTATGCCCCAAAAGCTCATCCTAAAGCATGTGCTTCATTGAATCAATGCCCAATTTCTATGTTTAAGAGCTGGGAAAGGAAAAATGACTTCATGTAATCAGTACTTAATGAACTGTCCCATACAAATCCAGCATAAGGTAAGATAAGTGACACTTTGCTCTTGCAATTAGCAGTTCTACCAAAAATGGCTTTGGGTGCAGTGGTTGAGATGCTGACTGGAAGAGCTGGCAGAAAGATCACACATGCTGCAGAGATTCTAGCACAGTTCTGTGTAAGAGCCTTTCCACCCTGGCGCCCAAAGGGGCAAAAATCTGTTCTTTCACAGTTAGTATGCTAACACCTCACAGAGCAGGACAGAGTTACACCTTTTTTCTATATCAGAAATCAGCAAGCCTCATCCGTTGTGAATGCATTCACATTACGCTTAGGACTATGAAGTTAAGTAAAAAAAAAACTAATATTGTTTCAATTAACATACCATTTATCAAAGCAAAATCACATCACAACCAAATCTATGCATTTAATATCTATCTATCTATCTATATATCACTGTTATTGTTGTTGTTGTTATTAAACATTGTTAAACATTCTTTTCAAACTACTTTTTACTCAGTAATAATAATTTACACATTAGAAATGTATTACTTTAATTTCCACAAGTCCATATGATATGCATAAAACTGCTAGGGAAGCATATTAATGTCTTTCTCATGGCACTGCCAAACTACAGTTTGCCAAAATATCTCTCAGTCCTGTGCCTGAGGCATTCCAGATGTTAGAGAATCCGAATACACAGCTTTTAAGACTCTCTCTACCCAGGACCAAAAGGCATAGCATGAAAGGAAGTGAAAGAAATCGAGACAGTGTGAGAAATAAGGAGTAGAAACAGCATTTGGCAATTGAGGGAGTCATGTATGGTTCTATTTGAGTAATCTAAGGCAGTAAGGAACATTTGCACTGAATGCAAGAAATGGACACTGAAAACCGAACATTCATTGACTTTTTATAATGATATTAAGGGTTACTGTTCATATAAAGTTTGACCTTTTATACAGAATTTAAAATACATGCTATTACTGCATGCCATTCACAGAAATTGGCTTTTACTGAAAGGTCATATTTGCTTGTTTACGCATGCATTTGAACTAAGGAGGGAGCCAGTTAGCTTCCTGAATTTTCTAAACAAGCAATCTGATTGCTAATGAAATCTGACAGCATGGGTAACATGGTTCACAACAAGGAAAATGAGGAGAGATTAAAACAAAATGAATACAGGCAAATTTGCCTTTGATTTATGGAATTTGGAAATGCCTAAATAAGGAACATTATACCAAGTGAAGGTCAGTCTCTAATATTTACAGGTATATTCTAAAATGTACAGTTATATTTAGTCAGAAAACAGACATCGTCGTTTTCTGAGGACAATCCCTGTTTTTGATGTCTTCAGAAATGTTTACTATGTTCCCAAAGTGAAATGCTGTGAGATTTATTTTTATATAATTATTTTCTCTGTTTATTTCAGTTTGGGTCATTTGTTTTATGATTCATTTTATAATTCAGTTTTGATATAAATGTGATTTAAATGTTCACTATATGGATGTTGAGTGACATGGTGATGCATGTGCAGAGGAGAAGCGCAGCAATGTGATGTTGGCACAGAAGAGTTATCTCTGAGAATAAAAGTTACTGTCACTGTTAAAGTTCTGTTTTTCCAGTGTATGAGACTGGATGTTTACCATCTTTTCCTCAAAAATATTTTAATAACGCATTTGTCATTGAACTAAATGTTTTCATTTCAGAAATCTGGTCACCTTAAGTAAGACTGATACCGCCTTAATATCAATATCCATGAAAAGCAATTATCAACACACCCATAGACCCACACGCCTTTCAAATATATCAATATGCCAACGAGCATTCAAATTATAAACCACAAAAATCATCTATGACTTAATAATCATACATAACCTGACTCATAGACACATATGCATAATAACAAGCAATTGGCAAGGATCCTTCTCAACAGACAAGGCAAACTTCAACAGTTGCCGCACAGGGTAAAGCTCACAGCTCTTGGAAGCACATAGCAAGACAGATGGGAGAGCACTGACCTGCCATACTAGGGGCTCCACATGGTCGACTGTAGAGGAGAGGCAGACACTGAGGACGACAGTATGAGAGGACGCGGTGAGCACGCTGGCTATGATGGCATCTCTCATGGAGAAGGGGAGCATGGTATATACCACAAAGATGATGAACAAGAAGAAAGACACCTAGAATCAGAGTAAACAAAACAAGAGACAGTATAACATTATGACAGATTATTTTGGTTATTTCAGGTGTTAGTTGTCTAAGCAAAAACGTTCAATTGTGTTCTCAGTTTTGTCTTGTTGGGGAAGGTTGTAACATGTTTTATTCATGAGCCAATCACCACATTGGTTGGCCAAAATAATGGTTTAAAATGTTGTTTTATTTTCTGCCAAATTTTGTTGAAAAATTTGACTGAAAAAAACCCTCTGTCACAACTTTAACTATACTGGTCATCTGTGAGTGACGTCACCTCCCAATATAAACACGCTCCAAATTATAATCCCGCCCCTGATATTGATTGACAGGTTTCTGTGTTGACATCAGAAATTAAAATGCAAAAGGAATTGCGATTCCATTTGAGTAATGGCAGGTTACATGCCATTAATGTTGCCATTAATGTGGTAATTAATGTTGATATTTAAATATGACAGGCTCATAACTCGTAAGACATGGGAAATACAGTTGCAAATGAACTTTGCTTTTTCATTTGAAATTTGGCCGTCACTGTGTGTTCGCAAAAGTGAAAACGCAAACAGTAATGCAAGATTTGCAGTTGCGTTTGGATTATGTCACAATTTATGTGTCCACATGTGGAAAACACAATTGAAAATACAATTTGCAATTCCTTTTGAAAATTTCCCTGAATATTCTTCCATACTCCATTTTTTTTTTTCTTTGATTGGTTGAAAGTCAATGTAAATTTAAAACATATACTCCACAACCATGTAATGTTCACCTGATATTGTTGTTTTAAACCCAGATATAGTAACATTTCTGAAAATAATAATGAGAATAACAACCATTTTCCCAACTTAAAATAAAAAATACTGCATGCTATCATTGTCTTGTCTTCTATGTGCAACACCATACATACTGACATATAAGTGATTAAATACCCTATAGATTAAACTACTGGTTTGAAGTTATATTTCAGAGTGTATAATATAATATAAAGTTTCAGAGTTTGGCCCTGTCCCAAATGGCACCCTAAACCAGGCCTTCCTCTGATGCCTTGTCCAAATACTCACACTTGCGGTCTTTGCACTTGACCACTTGAACACTTATATGACGTATTTCCTGTATTTGGCCCAAGTGTTCAAGTGAGGATGAAGACCACAAGTGTGTGTTGAACTTTTCATTACCTGATGGTTTCATTACCGGATGATACACTTGTAGTGTTGTAAAAATGCAAGTGTTTACATAGCTTAATTTTAATTTTAAATACTTAGCATTTTAAAATCAACTTCTAAATGTCTGTTCAGTAGTCCCTATAACATGACATCATTTTAATTTGTGGTGCATCTAATTAAGTGATTAAAAGCAGTTGCAAATGTTGTACAAAATAAATATCACCACTACTCATCTTTGCACCAGTAAAACGTAAAAACACTGTTTTCTACCAAATTATATGTAATATCTAATTATTGTATTAATATTTAACTTAAATTGGAAAGGTTTCCGTGACCTCTCGCGAGATCTCGGCAAAAGGTCTCACGATTTATTTCCAGAACATGATGCATGATGGGATACACTAAGCCTCGAATAGCGCTCCGGAGCAGTATTCGAGATAGTGTGGATCTAGTGTGCGTTAAGGGCACTGCGCTTTACCGTTTTTAAGACCAGGGACAGTCTTGTGCACTTACTTCCTGTCGCGCGCACGTGCTCTCAAGTGGCCAAGACTGCAAGTATGGACAAGGCATGAGTCTGCACTTTCGTGATGTAATGCCGCTTTGACTGTCGGGTAGAAGTCTGCTGCAGAGCTCGCACCAGTGTGGGCTCGGCAGAAGTGTGGATCGAGGGCGCATAATGGCTGCAAAGGGGGCGCCCGCGAGCACCCTTCTGAATGCTAAAATCACAAATGGGACACCCTACGGTCATACGGTCAGTAAGACCGCAAGTGCACATGAAGTGTTCCATTTGGGACAGGGCATGAAGTGTGACAAATGGGACACCATACGTTCTCATCACTAAACATGCTGATTGGTTGAGTTCAGGCAGCATTGTATTTCAACCACCATTTATTCGGATAATTTTTCTAAATATTACTGTTATACTATTGTGTCATGAAATGTAGTTTTAAAAGTATTTCAGGCGAGAATGTAGTTGTTTAAAACTCAAATCTGCGGTTTATTTATAAAGACAGCGCCTATTGAAAAATGTGTTTCGCCGATTTCGGAGACGTGAGCTCCACGCGATCACCGGGCACTCAGTGCTCATGTATCCCGACGAGAGCAGCCTCAACTCGGCTAGTCCTTCTGACATTTGCCGCTGGCTCTGATGTCTCTTAAGTGGTTTAACATAAGCTATAATTCATTTTGGGTAAATCTAACAGGTAATCATCGGTCTTTATTCTATTAATCTATTAATATGTTAAAATGGAAATAAAAGAGGCTATACTGTTTAATATAATATTTTGTTTCATTGTAATGTAGGCTATATACAGTACATTTCCCTGAAATTCCAGCGGCTATTAAATATAAACAAAATGAAGCAGTGGTGTTTATCATATTTTGTCTTTTTGTAAATACAGTGAGGACAATTGCAGTAGCCAAGGCGAGCTGACTGACGTTATCAAGTACGCTGCTGTTTGCAGAATTACTTTCTTACTTTCTTAAGCTCAAATAGCATTACAAAATCTTATTTTTCAGCCTAGACCAGCCAATGTGTATGTGCAGTCTTAAGTGCACGATTTGGTTCACAACTACAAACACAAACAAGAAGTGTTAAAAAAAACTACAAACATGTGCGCGACCAACAGTTAAGTAGAAAGGTTTAGATTAAGGGGTTTTTACTAATAATCAGCATTTAACCTGGTAAAACAAGATTAATTTAACGTTACCCGTGATATTTTCATCTGCAACAACAATGAGAAATTTTCTAAACGTCCATTTGGCCAACTTTTAAATGCATTAGGCCTATTATGCAAAACAAACGTGAGTTATTCACATGAAGAACCACGGTTGCTAGATCAATGTGCTACTTCTTTTCTCTCTGACACAGAAGGAAGTTAAGTAAATTAAATGTGGAAGATGTTAACTGTGACAATATGATTGACATGCCTGTATACAGTGACATGATGTTCATAACTATGCTTCAGAGCGTCCATTAAATATGCAATTGAATGGCGCTATAGTATGTCCTTCACATACTTTAAGGATGTAGTATAAGTAGGCAAATTGGGATGCAGCATGTTTCTATAGCATCTGGAGCTTCTAATGGCAGAAGCAGTGATGTGATGACTTTACCAATTAGCAACTGGCTCTTTAATTTAGACGGTGGGACTATTTCATCATATTGCGCATTGCACTTACTCCTATTCATAACTTAAGTGATATGAGTATTTTGATATGCATCATTGTACATAAAAAGTCTTTATTTAAGATCAGTGTGAGTCTATTAGTTAATTGATTTCATAATCATTGCGTACAATGTGTTTTCACTATGTTAGTTGTGATGAAAATATTCGTGATGACAGAATTTGTGTCGTAATAAGGAGATGATTAATGTGTTCAGTAGACATGACTGTTCAGCTACAGCGCAGTGCTGCAACCTTTAATGCAATCAGGGCCGGATTATGATGTAGTGGTACCTGCAGGCCACTTGTAGATTTCGTAAGGCGGTGTAAACCTATGAGCTCAACTATATTGCTTACTCACGAACCAATTCAAGTTTATTTGCATATCGCTTTTCGCGATACAAATCATTGCAAATTGTCAAATTGATGTACATATGGCAGAAATGTATGGTAAAATTCAGTTAATGATCAAACAGACGATGAACACTACTAACAGCAATAATTAAATGTTGCAATCAAACTTATAGCAAAATTTGGTAGTTTATGTTTTTTCATGGTTGGCATCATCTGAGGTCCTCTGAGGGGTTTGCATCATCTCTTCTCAGGTGTTCAGTCATCTCAGGTCTTTGTAAGGGCTGGATCCAATTACATATTCTATGATATCATGACATCAAGCACCACTAAATGAAGATTACTTTATTGACCAACAAAGTAAAAATAATAGAAAATATGGACTGAAAATACAGACATTGTCAACTGTTATTAGATGGCATGGATGTGTTAAAACCTTACCTCTCTAGTGCTGTGCATTTTTGGTTCAGTGATATGGACTATGATTTCAGTGTTTGTTTTTTTCTGGTGGTGTAACATCATACCATATTCAAAACATCACAGTCAAGCAACATGAGCCATTGCTCTATGTGCCCATGTAAGACCTCTCTGATTTCATTCATAACTGAGAATTATTCCTACTCACTGCGTCTCTTTCCTCTTAGTTATTAGAAAGACATCACTGAGGTAAGACAAAACAATCAAACAAACAACCACAACAAAAAAACATAAATAAATGTATTGCATATTAATTGTCTTTGTAGTGCCTGAGCAGATCGCTTTAATTTTAAAAGTAACTGAATCTTATATTGATAATGAAAATATCTTTAATGTAATAAATTTTTACCATTTATATAACAAGTTTCATTGGGATGTTTTCTTTCTTCATACAGATCCGACCATTCCAATCTTAAAAATGTCTATAGCGTTATCTTTGCATCAGAGTGTTTTAGATTACTCAAATGGAACCAGGAACTATTTTACACTTTGCACAGATCAGCCTGCAGTCTCTCTGTTCTGGTCAGGTCTCTGTGCATTTTGTGTTTTTCTGGGTCTCCCTGCCAGTGTCACTGTACTTCGGGAACTTTGTCAAAGACATCGACAAAACATCTCTACTAATGACTTCTTTGTGTTTAATCTGACCATCGTTGATCTTGTTTTCCTAACCGTTTTGCCTTTCGGTGTCTATAACTACATGCTTTTGCACAACACAGAATTCGAATGTTTTAATAATTTCACATATTCCCTAACCATATGTGGTAGACCTCTCTTCATGGCTTGTGTCTGTGGAGATTATTATTTTGCTGTGGTTCATCCCATCATCTACATGACCAACAG